TAGTAAAGTCTGTACAAGTGAGATTGGTATTCCAGAGTCATTGGCTGAGAGAATGCTGTCAAAGCTAGGCCAAGTGTCCGAGAAGTGTAAGGAGGATATCTTGAAACAACTTAAAACTCAGTGTTAATTATTTTGACTAGATAGGTCCATACTATACATGTACATTTACTCTGTTATCTATGTTTAAAGTCATTACTGATGATTCGTCTTCATATTTTAAATATAGTAATGTGATGACAAGGAATTTCAAATCTGATTTTTTAAAATAAAATTATTAGATGAATTTACTGTTTAATTAACTAGAGATAGTCTGTAGAGTTATCATGGAATTCTACTTCTGTTTTAATAGTTTGTCTCATGTAATTGTTTCAGAGACTTGTCAATGAGCCCTCATATCTGTATAGTTAAGAAACCCATCATCTCACTTGGATCAACCTGCAATGCCAAGAGTCTGGAGTCTCGGCAACACTCAATGTTGAATAAATAAGATCAATTAGAAATATTTGGTAAGTCAGTGATAATAATAATATATACTATTAATAAACAAAAATAGGATTGTCTATACTACTCACTTTTAATACCAGATATATGTACCTGCATACTCATGTACAGGTCAAGTTCAGGTTTCCTTCAAGATTAGGACATTGTATCATTAAAATGACTAGGAGACAATTCTCTATTTCTTTAACACTTTCTAAAGCATAATTTTTCAGTTTATTTTGAATAGAAAGTTTGAGCTGATTCTGGTCAAAATTGGATTTTTTATAAAATCTAAAGTTGCAAAAATTGAATTAAAGTTCTACCAAACTTGAAAAGGAAAGAATTTGCCATTCTTATAGTTTTCTCTTGATGCATTATACATGTACTTATGTTGCATAGGAAATTTGAGTTGATTTTAATCAAAATTAAATTTTTAATGAGTTTCTAAGCTGCTCAAAATCACACTAAATCTCCTGTACATGGTATTCGGCCGAACTTCAGCAAAAATGAAAAAAAAGAATTATTCATATTTTTGTCCGATGCATATACATCTACTTTAGTTAAAATGTACTTATGATGTTTCATTTCAATCAAAATTGATGGATTTTTACAAATTTTAAAAGTGGCTCAAAAATTTGGCAACTGTACTATGAAATTATGTCAAAATTGAAAAGGAGAGAAAGTTTGAGCAGATTCTGATCAAAATAAAATTTAAAATTGTTCAAAAATTGATCCNGGAGTCCCTGTATATACAGGGATTTTACCAATTTTTGGAAAATTGACTAGGAGATATTTTTCCATGTATTTCCTGATGCATAGATCTAGATCTATACAGTCATGTACTTCTGTAAAATTAATTTGAGCTATTT